ATTTCGTGACTTAATTATCTCTTGAGAGTAGGATGTCGAATCTAACAGTAAAGAAATTAACAAAATGACGATGCAACCGATCGATGATATAGTTCATCTTTAACTTTTTCAATGAAAATCTTTTATTGTCATGTTTGACTCTTGTCGATTCCACTGTATCTTATGAGAACTATTGAAATCTAATAATAAATCGATCTATTATATAGACGACTGTTATCGCAGCAAGTACGACTTGGGGTCTTTTTCTTCTTGTATTAATGCTTGGTTATGGTCTTGTTCAAGTACCATTAAATGTTTATAATTATTCTCGAACATCTTATACACTTTCTCATATTCAATTTAAATTATCTCAACTTTATAATGAAAAAATTGATATTGAAGAACGTTTAGAATCTCTTGTTGATGAAGTATCAAAATTATGTCTTGAAATAAAATATAATGATCCATTACGACCATGTTTAGAACAAATTGTTAAAATAGTTCCTGAAGAATATTCTAATCGGGTTAAATTAACAATGGATGATTATGAAGATTATAGAAATACAACAAATAATTTAACAACAGAAAAAACATTAATTGGATTACATAGACTTTTAAAAAAAAATAAACATATTCATCATCGAGTACAAGCTTCATGGGTACATATGATTAATGAAGCTTTTTATTTAGAAGATATTGTAAATAATGAAACCAATACTAATCATTCATTTGTTAAACAAAGTCCACTACCAAGATCATGGTTAAGACAAAAATTATTTGATGAACATCCAGTAATAGGTAAAATAGAAAAAGTTATTGAAATAATCATCATCTTTTATCTTATATTTTCGATTTTGAATTAATTGAAAATAGAATAGAAAAAACATAACAAAGAAAACATATCGTATCAAAATAAATAAAATTAAGTCTTTAAATCTCTACATATAAAATCGATGTCAAAACTAGGGACGTGTCATAATCAGCACGGTTTGGTATTCATATTAATTAGACATTGGATCGAAATTAGGAGAAACCAGTTATTTTTACATTACTAATAAACTGGTAATAGAAAATTTTATCAGTTTGATATGTTCATTAAGGAAAGACTATTTTTCGAAAATAATGATACTCTATAAAATTAGATCAAAGAAATTTCAACTAGGCCTCCAAATATTCAAGACTCTGGAAAACAGGTTCACTGCAACGAAAACTTTTTTGCTATCAAAATAGTTTTTTGACCTGTTCAGATTGTAGGGCGCATCAGCTTATGTATAAAGAGTTATTTTTCACTAATTTCGGACAATTTAGTGTGACTAAAAATCATAATTCCTAATTTTGGTATATTTTCTGCATAAATGAATACTTCGACGTAGTGACAGCTGTTTAACCAATATCATTTGTACAAAAATTATTTTCTAATCATTTGGTTGTGCTTCGTGTATAACCACACAATATCGTGACTTTAAGAATCTGATAAGGATGAGAATATGGATGAGAAAAAGTTTTGTTTCTTAGGATGGAAATGTTCGTGTTATCTGATCAATGAAAGATATTCGTTATGGGAATGTCGGTATTATCCAAAGAGAAAACTCACGCACACACCCATACCTTCGAGATTAATCATCTGAAATGGACAAAATGAACGTATATAGAGACATAAAGCTTCATTGGTGTAGATTATGAAACAGGTAACAAGTTGTTGCAACTTAAAACTTTCACGTGTTACCACGAGCTGTACGACCATTTCAAAATAGCGAAAAATAGGTTTTTGTACGCAATTAGATGTGTCTTACAATCTGGGCGAATCAAAAAAATATTTGGACGGAAAAGGTTTTTGTTGCAATAAATGGATTTTTCAGAGTCTGAAGTCTCTAGAGGCCTAACAGTACTGATGATCTTGATATTCGAATTCGGCCTGATCGATTATCTCTTGTCCACTAAGCTTTAGATCAAAAGCAATTTATCATTTGGATATGTTCCCTCTTCAAACGAGTTGTGTGAGAAATGTGTAGGATAGAGCCCTTCAAATCCAAAGTTTTGGAATCTGAACCCGACGGGTCCTATTCTGAGCCTGAAAACTTAACTTTGATATTTGAATCTTCTACTCTGCTATATTCTATTCAGATGAATTTCTTAAAAGAAAAATAAATATTTAATTTAATATTAAAAAAAAAGTTTTCTTTTTCTTTAGAATGGTATACATTTTGTCTTATACGTCCATGGGCTCTTCGTATTGTTGGTATAAGTTTAGGTTGTATATCAATAATAGTTATTTGGTCTGAAATGACATTTTTCAGTACGAAACCCGTTTTATCCATATTTGCTCAATGTGTTAATGCAGCTCGACGTCATTATGATTATTTTACAATTGAAGTAAGATTAAATAAAAGAACAACATTTGTTTCTATTTAAATTTTATAAAAAAAATGATTTCAATAGATATTCTGTTGTTTAAGTATTGCTTATTTATGTTTATGTGCATATTATACAATATTTCGTATTCGTATATTTAATTATTTTTATTTATCACTTTATCATTTAACTGATGAAAATAGTTTAATTTTTGCTGCAACATTTTTATGTCGTTTAACAGCTCCACTTAGTTATAATTTTCTTGGTATGATACATATGGATCAAACGATTACAAAACAAACTCTTCAAACAGAAACTGTTTTTACAACGGTAATTAAAATAAATCAATAAATAAAAAAATTTGTTTTTTTGAAAAATAATCTAGATAATGGGTCGTATGAATGTCATTCCAATAATTTCCAAAGGTTTTAATTTTTATTTTCCAATGTTAATATGTATATTATGTGTTGGAACATATTTTCGACTTGGTTCACGATGTTTACATACATTTGGTTTTCAACAATTTTTTGATGAAGATAATATATCAGCTGAATATATTGAAGATGGAAAAAGTTTAATGAGAAAAGGTTAAAATTATTTTTATTGATTTTATTTTTTCTTTATTTTGAAAATAAAAATTTAGAACGAAGAAATTATGGTGGAAATGAAACATTATCAACAATGGCAAATACAACAACACCTACTCAACGACGTGATAGAAGAAGAGAATTAGAAGAAAAATATGGACTTCGATCAACAACGACTAATATGAAAACATCAACATCACGAGATGATTATTTCCAGGATCTTAAATCAGGTTAGAATTTTGTTTTTTTTTTGAAGACTATTTTCTATAATAGATTTTTTCTTATAGAAACTCGTCAATTAAGACCACCGTCAATTTCAGATGAACCATTGATAAGTCCTAATAATAATCAAACAGTTCCTTCGGGTACCACAATATTATCAGGTAAAGAATTCTCAAGAGAAAAAATAAAAACTGTTTCTTAAAAAATATTTCTGTCATTGTACACGCTATTTGAAGACAGTAAATAAAGTTCTTTTTTATATAACTAAAATAACGATAAACATGTTTGTTTCCTATTACTATTACACTAGATTTTGATAAATGTTTAATTAGGAAAATCTTTACGATTAAACTATGATTTGAAAGAATTGACAATATATGTTCAATTATAGGGGAAAAAAAAAAAACTTCTAAAATGTTAAGATCTTATAAGCAAGATTTCGAAACATTGAATAGGATGACAAGTTCTTCAGAAAATATGAGAATTTTCAGCACTGAATATCGGCAATGAGTGAAAGTAACTTTATTAAATGAAATTTTGATGTTAGCGAAACTGATTTTAAGATAAATTATCGAAAAACTCAGTTTGCTAAGAACGAAAGTCAGTACGATGAAATTGATGTTATTCTGTTTTGTTTGTGTTCAATTGAAACCATACATAACGGATCATCAGATATGAGAATTGAATTTATTGTATTTCAATGATTGGAATTAGACAATTTTTCTTGATCATAAAGGATTGTTGATATTGATCGTCCAGCATTTTTATCAACTGGAAAATAGTGAACTTCATAAGATTTCAGTATCCATGAAAACTGTCGTTTCTTCCTTTGTATTTTATATAGACTTTCAGAGTTTTTAATATTTTCTCATTATTATTTTAAACTTTGAATTCCATAAGTAACTGAATTACATTGTATAATAAGAATATATTAATATACTTAATGATATTTTTATAATTTTAGGAACTTCTCGTCGAACAGCTCCACCTACAGACATATTTAATGATGTTTAAAATAACTTATTTGTTGTTATCATATAATTTATAATATTCATATAACTCTTCTAGTTGTTTATGGATGTTGTATTCTCATTGATATTGTCTGTCTAATCAGTCACTAACGAATTCTCTTTTATTTAACATTTAGTTTTACTCACTCTTGTCATTATAAAAAGTTGTTTTTATTTATTTTATGTTGTATTTGTCGTTTAAGATGAATGATCAAGGAGATAATCAAATCAATAATAATAATTTAAATGAATTACGTGCTGATGTTGCTGCAACAACAGACGTATTGAAAGTAACAGTTGAAAAATTAGTTCAACGTGGTGATAATTTAGATGCATTAAATGATCGAGCTGAAACATTAAATTCAACATCATATCATTTTCGTGGTGCAGCAAGACGAGTCAATCGACATATGAGATGGCAAAATTATAAATTAACTATTTTTATGAGTAAGTTTTTATTTGAAATGATTTTTAAAAAACATTATTTATTTATTCATTTATTCTAGTCTTTGTTGTACTCTGTATAATTGTTATTATTATATTGATGGCTCTTCATCCATGGAGAAAATGATCTGATGATAATGCTAATAAGAATGGTTTTGTAAATAAGAAGTTTGATCTAATGAGTTTGTGGACATAGTTTTTAACTTTGATTTTTCTATGATCTGTTATATTTATAATACATCTTTCATTTTTTTTTGTGAATACATATTAAACAAGTAAAAGAGATTTAATGAAGATTGGTAGAATATAATGAATGATGACGAAAGAGAATGATGATGAAATGGAATAAAATATTTTGAGAATCTTTTCATTTTCTAGAAAACAAAAAAAGAGCGACTTTGATTTCTCAATTAAATTGAACTTTTATGAGACTTGTTTGATGTTTGTTTGATGAAGTATATATTTGTGATAATAATGATTTTTTCCGATGTTGAATATAATCAAGGCTACAAATAAAAGAGTTTTTTATTCTTAAATTTTTTTTCACCATACTTATGAATATGTTCATCAAATATGTCAACTGTATTACAAATTGTATTGGATAAAACTTGTCGATTTCGTTCAATGATTACTGTTGTTGATAATGAACTCATAGAATCATGATCACTCATATTTCTACTATTGATAATTTTCTTTCTTTTTCTTTGTTGCTTGAATTTTAAACATTGTTCTTCTAAAAGACTTAACGATGATGAAGATGAATATCTCAATGATCTACTGTTGGGTAAATAAGAATTGTTACGATTTGTTTTTAAAAGCCAGTTTATAGTTCGATCATGTTGACATTTTTCAATAGTTAATAATTTATTATTCTGCATCAATACGAAATGTATATTGAACACATATATTGAAATAAAATATGGCGCTTGAAATTTATTATTCACTTCAGAGTATGAGTGCGATCTATTACATTGTGTGTGAAAGTCTTGTTCAACTTGTATAACAGATTTAGATCGACAGTTCAGAATCGATAACATGATGATTCAATCTGATTAATATAATTAATGTCATCCAATCGTTGTTCATGAGATCGATATACGAAAAATATTCAGCAAAAATGTATATCGATCATTGGTTTTTTTTGTTATCGGTTGCATTTGCTAAATTTAGGCATATCAGGAGTAGACTACAAGTTCTGGCTCATTTTTTATAATAAATTTTTCTATGTTAATAAGTCTTCTTTTACAACTATCTTCATCGAAAAAAAATATAGTAACATATGTTCTTCAAAATGATTATAAATGGATCCCTCTGGTTCATATAGTAAGAAGGTTATCAGTCTAGAAATATCTAACCTATGTCAAGAAAGTCTTTGTACAAAATCTTTGTTCAATTTTCAGTCATTTGGAAGTAACTTGAGAAAATGAAAAGTAGTCAGTTAGAATCAGAATTTGATGCTCTCTCTAAATATGTATTCAAATTTTTTTTCTAACTTGAAGTTGAATCGTTGAGAGTAAATCTTTGATAGAGACCAACAATGATGTTTGGACAGAAGATTTCGTGTAGTCCATTTTTGTATTTGGATTAAAACTGCTTCAATTCAAATCTAATGAATTTTTTTTACACACCAATTTATAGAATGAAGTTTGCTCTACAAAATGTCCACTTTGTTTTACTTTCCATATATCAGTGCAAACCATCATCTCCGGGAGTCTCATGTGGCGCATGGGGAAAAATCATCTCTTTTGAAATTTTTCGCGAATAGTCGCAGGTATCGTCAATCGTATTCCACCTTCTGAGAAAGTGTGTTGAGTTTCCCTGGGTATGAAAATAAGAGCATGTCGAAAGTGTCCCGAGTGAATATGATCAGGAATTACTCTCGGAGACTCCATAGAGACCATGTGGAAAAATCAGTGATTTTGAAACTGTACCTGAATAGTTCAGGGTATCGTCAATCCGACTTTAGTGTTCTATAGAGCATGTTGAACTTTACGTGGGACAGAGATGAGAACAGTTGGAACGTGTTTTGAGCGAACATGGATAGGAATTAGTCTGTGAGTGATCTAAGGCCTATGGGGAAATATCAGCATTCTTGGAATTGTACGCGAAGGGTTGACGTTACCGTTAGTCTAATATCACCATCGAATAGAGCATGTTGAAGTCTACTGGGAACACGACTGAGAGCATTTGGAACGTGTCGTCAGCGATTACGAACAAGATTTATTTTCGCGTTCCTAGGATCTAAACAAAAAGTTAGTATTCTTCAAATTGTACACGAATGGTTGACAACATCGTTAATCCGATTTCATCGTTGGGTAGAGCACATTGAATTCTACTTGGAACACTAATGAGAACACTTGGAACGCATTCTGAGCAAATATGGACGGCAATTGCGCGCTGTGTTTTTTAGAGCACATGGGAGAACATCTGCGTTTTGGAAACTGCACGCAAATGATTGGAGGTATCGCCAGTTCGATTTCAATATTCGATAGAGCATGTTGAATTCCACTGGGAACACGACTGAAAGCACTTAGAACGTGTCGTCAGCGATTATAGACAGGAATTATTTCTGGGTTTCTAGAGTCTAAGCGAAAAGCCAGTATTTTTAAAATTGTACACAAATGGTTGAAGATATCGTCAATCCGATATTAAGCCTCAATGCTAAATAGTTGTCAAAACTAAGTGAATTTCTTGACCCAACCTGACCCCACGATAGACTTCATCTCTATATGTTTTTTTCATTTTAAAATAAATTTCCTAACCCAACTCAACCCCAAGACACATAGACTTTATCTCTATATACTTTTCATAGTATAATAAACTTCCTTACCAAAGCCAACCGTAAAGATATATAGTTCATTCATATATGCTGTTTATATTAAAACTTATTTTCTATACTTATTTGTCAAGCTACTGATTTGAATTTCTTTGAAATTTCCCCAAAATCGTTTTCTTTGAATTCCCTTGAAATAGGAACTCACCATGCTATGTCTAAGTGATACATAACCACTTCTGTGCACAAAAATCACATGCCCACCTGTTATCCAAAGGTTATCCTGCGTGCTACGATCGCGGTACCCATTCGATATCATGAGAGTTCGAATAGCTAGTATACTCTTTTGTAGACTGTGCATCGATTATTCAAATCAATAATCATATTATTACCGAAGGAATCTGCGAGAGATAACATGATGAATTTTTTTCTTGGCAAGAAGTCCGGTTGAATATTCCTCGAGTTACTGTCCAAAGTTATCAAGTGAACTGATCAAAGTGTTGGTATCAATCAAATGAAGTGGACATATCCTAGCATATGGCATATTTTATTTGCGAGATTAAATAGTGAAAGTTATAAAAAAAGATAAAAAAACATGTTGGAACTAACTATTGAAAAATTAAAAGTGATATCGAAAAAATTTGAATAAATAGCGAAAAGCTAGAGATAAAGATAAAGCAAGAGCGAAGAATATCTTTAATCTGTTTGAATCCTTGATATTAATCGTCGAGTAACTCAAGAAGTTGTCTGAGTCGCTCATAGCTCCTAAAATGAATAAATAGAGTGTTTAAACATATCAGAAAAAGCTCTTGAGTTGATAATTTCAAGAAGACGATGTACAACTGATTTTTTCATAATCAGTCGACATTCAGTTGATGAATTATCGTCGAGATTGTTTATATTCTTGCAACATACTTGGCAGCCGGGTTATTGATCTATTCAGGAATATCACTGATGCTGTAGAGAAGATATAATATCATGTAATTATTATAAACCTAATCAGTATTCTGTCGGCATATATAACTTTGTTGAATTTGGATGAGTCTTATCGTTCGGTGCTTGCCCATTTATGACCATTATGATAGCAAAGACAATAGCCAAGTAGAATTCGATATTGCCACGAACCATTTTCTTATGCCGACATTTACTAATTGAGGATCAATTGTGATTTATCCATGGATATTTTACTGTATATATAGTCCATCTCCGAGAGAGAGAGAAAGAGTCAGAAAAAAAAGAGAGGAGGAGTCAGAAAAAAAAGAGAGAGAGAGAAAGAGTCAGAAAAAAAGAGAGAGGAGGAGTCAGAAAAAAAAGAGAGGAGGAGTCAGAAAAAAAAGAGAGAGAAGGAGTCAGAAAAAAGAGAGAGAGAGAAAGAGTCAGAAGAAAAAAGAGAGTGTGGGTGTACGAAAATCAATTGGAAACAGACCGATCTACAGCTCTTTAATACAAATCAATCTGCTAGTCTCAACTCTTGCTTTTCAGCAATCGATTCCCTGTCGAAAATTAACTAAAAATAGAATGATAACAAGTCATTGTACTTGAATTAAAAATAATTTAGACGAATGTAGAATTAAGGCTTCCCCCCCCCCCCCCCAAAAAAAGTCATTTTTCGTCAAAGATTTCGAAATTGAGATAACTGCATGGGAAGAGAGCCCGTCTTCAGATCTTTTAGAAATTATATGATTTTTTTTCAATGCCTCTTCTTTGGAGAAAAATTTTGATGATTTCTGTAATCAGCTACTCAAAAAACACGATTTTCCCTAGGAAAAAATAGATTTTGAGGTTTTTGCATGGAGAATAAGCACTTTAATAGAATGTAGAGACGTTTTAACAAGTTTTATAAATTGTTATAGAAAAGTCAAAGTTTATACAGAAAAAAATGAAAAATCGACTAACTGGTTGACAGGAAAAATTTTTTATTTAAAAAAGTGCCTAAAAATGCTTTTCGTTTTTTCTCAGTTTATGCCTTTTTGATCGCACAATCCAAATTTTTCCTTCCAGACTCATTCAATTTATTTTATTTTTTTTTGTTAGGAAAAAGCATGCCAGGATGCAGTGCAGTACCGAGCTCTTTTTTTTCAATTAAGCTTTTCTTTATTAAATATGCAGACACCTGTGTAACTCGACACCCCATTTTTTCAGGGTTTTTTGAGTCATCGCACTTGTGATCCCCCTTTCTTCCCTAAAAAGTAAGAATTTGAAAAAAGGGCTCTGTACTGCACTGTATCCTGACTTGCTCTTTTAAACAAAAAAAAATTAATTATGTATAATGAACCTGGACAGAGAAATTTGGTTTGCCAAATGAGCTATTTTTGACCCTTGTTTGGTCAGTATCTCCCTTAAATGTCATGATATCGGGCTGAAAATTGTACCATAGCTTTTCCACTGTAGCCCTAACATGTCCTGAAAATTTCATGCAATTTTAACGTTTCTGGACTGAGATCGATTTTTGAGGGGGAGGCCTTAAAGATCATTGGTCAATTTGACAGAGATTTCTTTATAAAGTACGTTTACAGCTTTCTACGATGCACCGTCTGAAAGAATAATAAAGATTTTCTCACTTTCTCAAGGTTACATATGCAAAATAAAAACATCGTCCATATATTTTTATTATGCTAAATATAGTAGGACCTAACAGATCGTGTATATTTTTCATTTTGAGTATGGAGGAAACCATCAGAACGAGCCAATTTGGATCTGTTCATACAGTTTTTTGTAGAGTTTTTCACGGCTGATCTTCTGAAAAAGAATCAAGGGTCTATCATTTGCCTGTGCAAAAATATCTGCAAAATAAAACTATGTTTTTTAGCCACCTGCTATTTCACAAACTTGTTTCACGTTTTTTCTCAGAACATGGGTTCGACAGAGTATCTCCAACGCCATTCCATCGCAGTACTATATAAAGTCAAACATTCTTTTTTGTTTGAAAGCTCGTGTTTGGGGCTAGCTTATCCCGTGATCCTTTTTTTTAAAAAAAGCCCTTTTATTATTATATAAGAAGCCATCTCTATAGAAAAAGCACTATTTTTTAGGGAGTTTTTGAGCCATTGAACTTGTCATCCCTTTCCTTCGCTTAAAAAGTATGAATTTAAAAAAAAGGGCTAC